TTGTGCCTGGCGAGGTCCTAGGTGACCTGGACCCATTGCTGAAATTCTTGTTGGTAGGCAGTCAGGTTCCTCACCCCTTCGGTATCCTGCTTTTAGTCCTCCCACAGTATTTTCAGCAGACCCCTAAGGCGGTGGCCCAGTATGAGGTCAAACAGTGAATGCTTTGTTGCCTCTTGCAGGGTGTCCCAGATCATGAATAATACCAATGGGAGAAGCAAATCCCACTTCCACGGATCACCCTGTATACACCGTCGAAGCATACGTTTTATGGTGCCATTAAGACGCTCGACCAGGCCGCTGGTCTGGAGATGGTATGTGGAGGTCCGGAGCTGCCTAATGCGAAGGGTGTGGCATACGACTCGTAATACTCCCAACATAAAATTCTGCCCTTGGTTGGTGAGGATTTCTTTTTTCTTTCGATATCTCCATCCTTGCAATCCATTTCATGAGTTCCTCCACTATCCAGAGCACGGTCACAACCCAAAGTGGTGTTGCCTCAGGGTAGCATGTGGCATAATCGATGAACACCTGTATGTACAGGTGTCCTGCACTACTATGGGGCAAGGGTCCGACTACATCTAGTGCTACCCTGGAGAATAGTGTATCAATGATGGGTAGGGGCTGGAGCGGGGCCCGTGCTGGGCGGTCTTCTCTTGCCTTCTGGCATTCAGGATACGCTGCACACTGGCAAGCAACCTCTTCTCCCAACCCTGGCCAGAAGAACCACTTGGTCACCCTGGCAATGGTCTTATCATGACCAAGATGTCCCCCCATGGGGCGAGTCTCTATATTATTTGGCAGAACCGGGTAGGGACTACTAAGTGCATTCCCTGCTGTTCTGTCATATTCCTTCTCTGAGCCTGGTATACAAGGTGGTTCCTTACCTCAAAATATGAGTTCCCAACCAGCGTCCCTGTCTGGCCATCCCTGGCATCGAGGGATTGAGTCCTGAGTGTCTGGAGCTACGGGTCTTCCTCCTGTGCTTCCTTAAACTGCGGGCTACTGGCCACATCGTGCAGGTTGACTTCATCAGCGTTGCCAGTTGATCCCTCTTCCTCATCAAGTTCTCCTGCCTATCCTTCATGGTCTTTGATTCTTCAACGCTCTACTTCAATGTCTCGGATCCGCTCTAGTGTGTCATAAATGGGCGCCCAATCTCATCTGATCAACATATCGCATGCCAGCCAGGGTGCCACGCCCACTAACAGCTCCCCCTGGTATTCCATTACCCAGAGCCGGACCCATTGGTGCGTGATTTGCTCAGCTTCTTCATGCATACATGCCACCCTCACAGGATTTGCCTGGCGGTTCCTCCAGGATGTGATGATGTCAGCCCGTACTAACGATTGCGCACAACCAGAATCCACTGTGGCTTTGACGGGGCGATTTTCTACCCATGTGTCCACGACCGGGCGCCCCCAGATGGCGTTATCTGCTCCCGAGGCATAGCTACAATCCATTGGCTCGCTTGCATCTGCCTCTTTCTGTGTCTCTGTTTGTCCCCTTGAGGAATTGTTGGGGCACCATCATTCACTGAGACCACCCGGGTATTCTCGGGAGAAGTGACTTGTTCTTCCACATTGGAAATAGACTGTGTCCTTCAGATTGCCCTTGGAAAAGGGTAACCTTTGTTCTACCTCTCTAGGGGGTGGAGTCACCTGGAAAGTGGTTCGCTTCTCCCGGCTGTACCCCGCCTTTGATGCAGCAAATGCTTCGGCCAGCTTCAAGGCCTTTTCACAACTGTGAGGGGAGTGCTGAAGGACCCAGCACTGAGTTCGTTCCTCCAGATCATTCTGGAACTGTCCCAGCAATACTTGGTCCGCTAAGGCATCCCGGTCATAGACTGTGGGGCTCAGCCACTTATTCAAGAGATCTTGCAAAAGCTGCAACAGAATCCTGGGTTATCACTCGTCCGGCCCTTTCCTAGCCCAGAACAGCTTCTGATAATGCTCTGGGTTGATCTCGAGCCTATACAGGATTGCTGCTTTGACTTGATCATAGTCCCGGGCTTCATCCCAGGGAAGAGCCCAGTAGGCCGTTTGGGCTTTACCAACGACAAGCACCCACAATTGGCTAGCTCAATACCCTTTGTCTAACCCTGTCATAACTGCATGGCACTCAAAGGCTTCTATGTATGCCTCCAGCTCATCCTCCCGGGTCATCTTTGGCATTTTAAATGTAGCCAGACTATAGCATAGCCAGTCTTACTGGTGGTCCATCATTTGCTGCTGGGCTGAGCACACCCGGAGGGGCCATCACTGTCAGTTGCATTGTGCTGATCTGTGTCTGCCAGGTCTCCTTGGTACTTCCCAGCCAATGCACCACTTTGTGCCCGCCTGGTCTCAAGTATGCATTCGTGAGCCGCCTTGGCACATGTGCCCGAAAGTGGCTGCGAAGTGGGTGTCACCGACCTTGGAACGAATCCACAATCACCTGGGGGGAAACCCAGAGACTCGCCTGCCATGACTTCAATGATACCTTCAGTGGTGGGCTCCCCTTCAGTGGACTCACTTGGATTAGCTGCAACCCTGGACGGGTCTTCGTGGGGCTCCACCTCCCCTATACCCCATCCATGCGCCAGCCTCTAAGATGTCCCTCGATGTTCCCAAGGCTCACCCTCCGACGTCACCCCTTCCTTCTGGAGTTGCTCAAGGCCACCCAATGGACCTTTGGCTAAGCCGAGTCACTGGTTGAACTCCTGCCTTTGGAGTGCCGCCTTTGTCCCTGCCCTTACCTTCAGGACCTCTAGGGGCACTCCTGCCCTTGCCTCACGGCCTCTCGGGGCTGATCCTCATCAAAGGAGTTACAAGGAGAACCACGTGCAAAAGGACAAAACATAGAAGAAAAAGTGTAAAGAAAAGGATTTTGCCCGTAATCCAGAGTAGGGTCTGGTCTGCCTCTTTCTGACTCATGGCCCCTTTGGATTATGGTCTTTGTTGTCCCTTGACATCATCCGGCATCCTCGCTCCTGCTGGAGGCCTTCTCTGATGCTCCAGCTCTGTGTCCCTCGCTGCACACCAGTATTGTGAATGCTCAGCGTGCAAAGAACCCTTGGAGTGCATCCCCTTTGGTGCTCCCCCCGGCATCTCCCTCAGTGCTGGCTTTTATTCTGGCTGGGCAGCGTCCAAGGATGACATCACCTGCCCGTGCCAGCTCAAGCCGGAAGTAGACACAGCTTACAAACCGCATGGCCGTTTGGAGCCAGCGCAGCGTGGCTGCCTCTTCATCTCCTGAAAGGGGTAAGCTAACCCTAGTTTCAGGGCTTTTTGTGCACAGGTGAGCTGTCCCACTCCCTGTCTCACCACCGGGGGGGGGCGCGTCTACCAGTGACTATCCTCCCAGGACACAGGGGTTTTCAACCTTTTTTAGTCTAAATACCCCTGGTACGAAGGCAGCCAGACG